TTTGTTTAGAGAGCTGTGGAAATGAAGGGTCGGAACCCCTAAAGCGAAGGGTCAAGTGCCTTATATAGGTGCAATCAAAACGGGTTTGATCTTGACTCGAGTGTTCTGTGGAAATGAAGGGGAGGAACCCCTAAAGCGAAGGGTCAAGTGCTCTTATATAGGTGCAATCAAGACGGGTTTGATCTTGACCCGTTGATCTCGACCCGAACCGTTTGACCCAATCCAAATAGGAGCACGGAGCGTACGTGGAAACTGAACCTGGGATAAATTTCCCATCAACTTAGAAGCTTTGTTTTGCGCGGTGAGGATTTATTAGAACCCTGATTTTCCTCTCTCTCGAAAATCCCCTTTCTTCTTTGTAAATTTCTGCCAACATTTCGTTATTAAAAATTATGAAGTGTGTTCACTTTGTTTAAGTATTATATTTGAGTTCTCATTTATTATTTATTTTATATAAATAAATTTGTTTTTATCAACTTATTCTTCCTACATATTTAATATAGTATTAGTTAATAAAGTTTGTATATCGAAAAACTGTACTATATTAAATGTCATATATTACATACAAAAAAAAAGTCAAATTTGAAAATTATATATAAAAAAAAAAAAAAGTGTTAAAAAACAAACAAAGAAATAAAGATCAATTTGATCAATAATGTATACTTGTTATATTAATTTTCTAAATAATAGAAAATAACATTCTTGATTTTGTGTTTACAAAGTTTGACTAGTCTTTGTGATTATCATAACAAATTTAAAAAGTTTATAAGATTTAATAATGACAAGATTTTAAAAATAATAGAAAATGTGTTTGATATCACAAGTTGTTATGATAATTTGTATATTATATTGTGATTGCTTGTCAAACACCTAGCAATGATGACACTTCTGTCGCTCTCCTTAAGGGAATGTATATGATTAAATCTTGATGGTGGATTCTTGACTCTTAGGGGTGCTGTATCAAAAATATTGTGATCTATTTTTTATTTTGCCTTATTTACTTTTCCCTCCAAGTTGTTAACATTTAGAGGACGTTTGATACTTTTCCATCAATTAAATTATTAAGAAAATGTTTTCCATGAATATATTTGATGTGAATAATTTTTTAGGGGAAATTAATTAACTTGTTTGGAAACATACCAATTAAATTACTTGGAAATTTAATTAACATTTTTGACGAAAGTAAGATTTTATTTATAATATTAGATTAGATTTGGTGAATTATGATTTACTGTTTATTAAATATTTTCTCTAAAAAAATTAATTGTAGATTTATTTCAATTAATTTGGCAAGAAGGCAATTAAAACATTAAAAATATCTGAGAAGATCAAAATATTATTTATTTAATCATAATATATTATTCATCATATATAAATTTATTGATCGTAATAAATTGATTATAAACGTATTTGAGTATCCTTACAGAATTACACTTTTGTTTACTTATTGATACATGCATGCATACATCTAACATCTCAATAGATTTCTTGTATTTTTGGATGCAAATTTTCACTATTAATTTGCTTATGATGACAAATCTACTTTGTTGGGAAAATCTCTTGAGCCGACTGCCATTTCATCATAATGATCATTCATTGCTTGAGAGTTGAATTCATCTAGATTGGGATCATACTCAAGAATATCATCATGACCTTCAAGCATGCTAACTACTGCAGACATGGATGGCCTAAGGACTGGTGAAGTATTAGTACAGAGCAAAGCCACTTTAATCATTCTGAGTGCCTCATCTTTGTCAAAATTAGAACCCAATCTTGGATCTATGAACTCCATTAAGTTTCCTTTTCTTTGAAGAACAAGTGCCTGAAAATTGTGCATATAAATACAACAAAACATAGTGGAGTATAAGAATATAATGTGTGACTTATTAGTTTGACATGTTTGCAATATAATCTAGGAATTATGAGTTGTTGCACTCATATCTCACCCAATCAAGAAGGCAAAAATAATTCTCATCGGAATGATGCTTCACGTTGTTCTTCCCGGCAAGAATTTCCAGTGCCACTATCCCGAAACTATAGACATCAGCTTTAAATGTTAAGTAGCCCCACAATGCATATTCAGGCGCCATGTATCCTCTAAAAAAAAACGTATTGTTAGTAAGAAAAATCATAAACTTTTAGTATAGTGTGTCTCACACATATAAACGTTTTATTATTTTCACAATAGCAATGATTAAAAAAAAAAAAGAGCAGTTTATGCTAGGAAATTAGGGCTATGAAGAATGAGAAGCAAATGCAGCCAATAGTTTCTTTCAACTATATGATGAATTTGAGAATACAAATTGGATAAGAAATTATTATAACACTTACACTGTCCCAGCAATTCTTGTGGTGATGTGTGTATTCTCATCCTCGTCAAGTTTAGCTAGACCAAAATCAGAAATTTTTGGATTGAGTTCTTTGTCAAGAAGCACATTGTTGGCCTTAATGTCTCTATGAATAATTTTTATTTCTGATTCTTCATGCAGGAAAGCTAAACCTTTTGCAATACCAACACAGATTCTATATCTAGTAGGCCAATTTGTTTTCAGCTCGCAATCTTCAGAACCTGTAATTAACTATTAACTCAAAATACTTGTGTTTATCTTATAAAGTAAACTAAATCATCACTTTTCTAGTACCATATATATATATATATATATATATATATATATATATATATATATATATATATATAAACAAGGAGCCAAGAACCTTGTGCTCAGATGGCACTCAGGTTAGACTCCCATATGGGAGGTTGTGAGTTTGAGCCTTAGTGGAGGTGTTATTGGCTCTTTGTGCTTCAGTAGGTTGAGAAAGTAGTTATGAACAGATACTACATTGTAAAAATAAGGAGATGTCTTTGTTCAATTTATTGGGTTATGTTTTTATATTGTAACTAGTAGCCTAAATAATTATGATTTCAAAATTACCAAAAAGTGCATGGGCAAGGCTGTTGTTTTCCAAGTACTCATACACCAATAGCAACGGCTTTTTCTCAACACAACACCCATAAAGTTTCACAAGATTAGGGTGCTGCAGACAGGCAACCATGCCTATTTCGTTCAAAAATTCACGGCATCCTTGTTTTGATTTAGATGAGAGTTGTTTCACAGCAATAGTTGTACCATCTAATAATGTACCCTGATTTTATACACATGAAACAATACATCGGTCATCAACATATGCATCTATAGTAAGTTCAACAAATTAAGGAATGAATTAAAAGATTGACATTATATTATGATTACTCATATTTCTCTATACCTTGTATACAGGCCCGAAACCACCTTCCCCGATCTTATTTGCAGCATCAAAGTTGTTCGTAGCGGCTTTAATTTCTCTAAAGGTAAATAGTCTAATTTGTAGATCAAGCCCTCGTAGTTCTGCACTAAGACAAGTGCGTGAAAAAAAAATGCTTTGAAGTGATTGGGCACATTTTCAACAAGCTTAAGATTCTTTTGTGATCTTAAGAAAAGGTAAATTATACTAAGAAGACTTTGTTCAACCGCTCGATCAAGAGAGTGTTGACAAAACTTGAACTCGTAACTTTTAGTTACGAGAATCATGCTCCGATCCACTCACTTGATCATCCTTTTTGGAGCATGTATGTGAATATTTGATACTATGTCATGTGAGTGCATGCACAAATTGTTGGAAAGCCAGAGTACCTTTTTCCTGTGAAGTCTTTTTTCTGATGTAGATTTTCCACGAAGCAATACAGAGAATTGTGAAAATAAGAAATAAAGAAGAAGGTACTGCAACATCTATAATTAAAGTCTTTCTATTGCGAGGAGGCTTGAAATCTGCCGGTAAAAAAAGGCACGAGATTAAGTTAGATTTATAAAATTTATGTGCAATATAATGAATCAAAAACAATAACAATACGTTTGGTTCACGGAATGAATTTAGAGGAAATATGAATGCTATTCCACCCGGAATGAAATAGGTAAGGACTAGAATAGAAATTGTATTCTATTGGTTCGCTGAAAGAATAGATTTAGGGAGGATTAACCATTTTTCAATAGGTAATATATTGGAGAGATCAGATTACCAGATTCCACAGAAATTGCAGATATTAAAGGGCCATAGACTCCTCTATGTGGTACTGCTGTTGTTCCTTTTCCGGCATACTCAAACCGCACCTCTAGAGTTTTATTTTTAACAATTACTTGAAATTGTTTAACCAAGGCTTTATCAACCCCTTGTGCTTCAGTTTTAATATCAAAATCCTTTAATTTCATTTCGCCCTGTAACCAATAAAATCATTATATATTCAGATGCACATTACTTAACCATTTAAGTCCTCACTTTAAACTGTAAAATCCTCGATTGACCTGTATATAAACATCAAATATGCGTCTTCCAAGACTTTGAAAAGATCTATTCTCTCTCAAAACTATCTCTGCAAAATGAAGTTTCACAGTATATTTTCCATTTGCTAAACAGCGCCCGTAATATGTTAGAGATAAAGGAGACAACCGAGCGGTCTGGTAGATTTCGGAGTCCTTTCCCTCGATGACAGATGTATTTGTTGTTGTATAGTCAAGTAGTGTTAAATTTCTGTCCCAAAAGTACCCTGCATTACTTGTTACCCAGTTCTCTTTGTTGGAAACAAATATCGCAGGCCCGGAAGAATCTTGATCCGCATCATAAGTAGTGTCACCAATCAAAACATTGCTTCCACCACAATTGATGTGAAATGAATACCAATCTGCCGAAACAAAAAAAAAAAAAAAATGCATATTAATTAGCAACATTGATGCATAAATGCATTGTGAAAGAAGTTCAAATCAAATAAACAAAAGATACATAATAATGTAAGTATTGTGATATCATGTGCTTACCTTTCGTGCAATTCATTAGACACTTTAAAATTTTTCTATTCAAAGCCAAAAGGAGGATAATGTTAGAAATCTTATCTTTGGATACTAAATTACATTAAAGTGACACTACATATTCATGGTTTGTTAGAGGATATATGGTAAAACTTACTCATTTTCTCTTCCATCTTTATAGCTTTTGAACAAGTTTCTGATAAGACAATGATAAAGTCAGCTTGAATGATCCATGTTTGAAGGGATATGTGAAAGACTTACATGCAAGTAAGGGACAGAATCTTACAGAGTTTCTTGACAGAGTTGTGGCTTAGAGCTTTCCTCAAAATTATTGTAAGAAAGATCTGTAAAACTGAAAAGTGCATACGATTATTTAAATTCTATTAATGCTTTCTACCACGAGAGTAGAAATGTGCAAAGCTTTGATAAAACTCTCTGGATATGCATGTAACTAACTTCGTATTCGGAGTAGCAGCTTAAATGGTTAATAGATCAATTCTTCTGACTACAAAATTAAGAACATATTTTTGTCAAATTGAACCTTTTTTTATTGACCAGAATGAATATTTTCTTTTAATTTGATTTCATTTTCTTTGAGTACACAAGCACTAAAAAATCAAGAAAATGACTTGTGAAAGTCATTTTTTGGATTTTCAAACAGGCCCTAAGTAAATGACAATTGTCAAGATACCTAACTGGTATTAACTCAAAAATCAAAACACTCATCCATGAAAATCTTGCACATTATTAACCCTAGTGTGGAAGATAATAATTTAACTACATCTAATATATATAAGATTGAACTTACTATCTGGAATCTCGATTTATAACCCATTGAGAGATTTGCCCACTAAGCGAGTTGTTGGTTAGATACCTAAATATAGGCAGCACAAATTCAAGCATGAGAAACACAACTTATTATTAGCTTTCTATTATATTGGAACAAATAGAAAGGAAGTTTGTTATCGCAATCGTTAACATCAAAATTAAATTGTTACTCACATGTACTGTAGATGACCAATATTTGGGTCACCAACACCTTGAAGACCATCAACCCCTCCTTCCAGATTATTAAAACTCAAATCTCTGCAAATTCAATGTGATAACAAAACAACAAAGCAAAGAATTAACAGCGGAGAACGAACGAAGGATTTAAGAAAATTGAAGTTGTAGAAATTACAGTTGTTTCAAGCCTGTCATATTGGCTAAATCAGGTATCTTCCCAGAAATATTGCACCTCCTCAACATCCTGCACCCAAGATTATTTTTTTTGCATAAATAACATCAATCACTTCATAGAGGATTTATGAAACTTAATTTTCATAAATAACATCAAATTTTTGGGAAGAAAATGCATTACTCACAACTTTTCCATTTTTGTCATGTTGTTTAGTATAGGAAAATGGGAGACACCTCCATTTAGCTCACTGATTCTACTGCAGATTTATGTAACATTTTAGTTTGTGGATCGTATCCATAGAAAGTTCGATATGCTATAAACAAAATGTGTGTGAGTATTAACTAAACCGTCAAAGGAAATGTTAACTCACAATTCTCTCAAGCTTGTCGATACAGAAATATTTGGAGGTATAGGTCCTTCAAAACCACTTGCTTGAACCTCTCTACCAATCACGATGCACATACACTCGTCAATAAAATATGATTTCATTCGGAAATTTCAATTCTGAAGTGCTAGATTTGAATGCTTAGCTTACAGTTGTTCAAGGCTTTTGAAAGTTTGAAAGCTAGGCAATTTCCCAGTGAAGTTATTAATGCTAAGCCTACTGCATTTATTTCCCAGGACACATGACAAGTCAGCATAAAGTATAGAATAAATGACAAATTAAGGAGGTTCATAAATTATTAGGAATGTGATTGATATGATGCACATACAGCTCTGTCAAATTTCTGAGAGTATAAAGTTCTTTTGGCAATTCACCTGTGAGATTGTTAGCACTAAGAATGCTACAAAGACCAAAAATAGAGAAAGCATCAAACAAGTGATAATGAAAATTTAAAAAATTTAGCCCTTATATATATATATATATATATATATATATATATATATATATATATATATTATTGAGAGAAGCTCACAGATTCTGTAAGTTGGCAAGTTTCCCAAGCTCTGGTGGAACAGTTCCATTGAACATATTGTTCTCCAAGTTTCTGAAAATTCATTTAATTTGTTGTTACAACAAAACCAAAAAAAAAAAAAATAATAATAATAATAATTAAGTTCGTCACAAAAAGTTAACAACATTGTTACTTGTGTAAGTAGAGTAGGGTGAAATTAAAGGAGCAAGGGTACATACAAATATACAAGAGTTGATATATTTCCCAAGTACTTTGGAATTGGTCCAGACAATCGATTCACAACAACAGACCTAAAAATTTCAATTCTCAATTCTTTAATTATCATGGACAAGCTGAAGGCTTCCACCTTTATATATAGCTTAGGTTATAATACACAACACAACTTACAGATATTCCAATTTGGTAGAAGCCCATTCAGGGGGAATTGTACCGTTTAAGTAGTTGCGAGTTAAATCACTGCAAAATATACGAATAAATGTACAAGTGTTGCATAAGAAGAGGTGATAATTGCATATATAGATGTAGAAGTGTTGGTACTATACATTATCTTGAGAAAGGGTAACTTCACCAAGGAAGGAGGAAGGACACCTTGCAGATCCTGCCCTTTCAAAATGCTGTTTACACAACAGTAGAAATTATTTTAATATGTTATTTAACGAATTATAAAACTGTACAACAAAAGTTCTATATATGAAATTTAGTAGTGTAAATGCAAAAAGTACATGCACAATACAAGCTATATAAGTATGTGATATAAGCATTAAATATGTAAAATACAGATTATAACATTTAGAGGTGCAAAATATAAATTCTAACGTGTACAATAATATATCTGAAATTGTATATTAGGAATGCTAAATTTGAGATATTTCATATCTAAAAGCTCACAATAGAAATTATATGTATTAATTCATTTTTGAAAACTACTGACTCTATTACATTGTCGTAAGCACAAAATTGTGAACATTCAGTAGGTAAATTATGTATTTTAAACTCGGATTCACATTGTCAGGTGAACCTGGTTTCACAGAATAATTTGCCGCAAAGGTCTTGATAGGGATTATTGCCTATATAAAGGGCATTACACATTTACACACGCAAGGATGGGGGACCCTTTTTCATTTCTACTCCCTCTTTTCGCCTCTACTCTCTCTCTCTCTCTCTCCAAGATTGAATAAGAAAGCTTCTTTGAGCTCATTCCTCCCATCAATTCTCTACTTTAGATATGTTTTTCATATACACATGAATACATCAAGCAATTTACACTATCAGGTCTGGAAGTTAATTGGATCCAGGGAATAATTAGCCACGAGCAAGGTTAGTTTGGCAGCTTATGTAAAAAGGGAGAGAGTTAGGCTAGGGGTGCGAGTTGGGCTAAGGATCAAAGTTAAAGGGGTGAGAATGTATAAACTGAAAAATATGACATAAACACTGAAGAAGGGGAAATTTTTGAGGGTCAAATAAAGTGCGACAAGACATAAAGTAGCACAAAGACTATGAAGGTACGGTGGCAAAGAAACATGATCGATCAGTATCTTCTCAATGAGCACTTGACCTCACTCGTCGATTGTGTTCTTTTCTCTTTGGACAGCATGCTTAAATTATCTACAAGTTGTAATAACATCTATTGGACTTGGATTTGAGACCCTTCTTCGATATTTTTCAATACAGGCCGAAAAGGTACCTACGACCCAATGTATAATTTATCAATCATTATTGTGTGGACCATGGTTCACACAAGTTGTATGAACCATATTTTGTCTACTGTAAAATAATGTACATTCAGTATAAAAATAATGTACATTTAGTATAAAAATAATGTACATTGTATTTAGGAAATGTACATTATTTTTGTTCTGAGTGTACATTATATTGTATAATGTACATTCAGTACAAAAATAATGTACATTTAGTATATTAAAAATGTATTTTTTGTTATGGTCCACATAACATTGTGTGGACCATGGTCCATACAATAATTTGCCATAATTTATCAGTCGTTATATCATAGACCGCGGTGCATGTGCACCGCGGTAAAAAACGACGCCGTTTCTTTAAGTAAAGAAACGGCCCGCCGTTATAGTCAACGGAGTCCGCTTGTTTGGTGTATTAAACATCAACTGACACTACAGTATATCTAAACTGACACTGCAGTTATATCAAAATGATACTGTAGTTATAGTGAATTGAAACTGCAGTGTATATAAAATGAAACTGAATAACATTTCACATATTTGAGTGTATATTGTACAATGAAGCTGTAATTATATCGAAATAATCATGTAGTTGTGTTTTATTGAAACTATAGTATATATAAAATAAAATTAAATAACATTTTCACATATTTGAGTCTATAAATATCGAATGAAACTATAGTTACGTTATATCGAAATGAAATTGTAGTTGTGTTGAACTGAAACTGCAGTGTATACAAAATGACACTTAATAATAGATTTACTTTTTGCAAAAGGGTGCGAAACGGCGTAAAACAAACACCGTTTCTTTTCATTTAAAAAAAGGACGCGGGGTGCATGATTGATCATGCACCGTGGTGCATGATATAATTTGCCATAATTTATCGCAAATTATATCGTGCACCGCGGTGCATGATCGATCATGCACCGCGCATCAAAACGACGTCGTTTTGTTTAATGAAAAGAAACAGAATCTTCGCAAAAAATAACTCTGTTCTTCAGTTTCATTTTGTATACACTACAGTTTCAGTTCAACACAACTGTAGTTTCATTTCGATATAACTACAGTTTCATTCAATATTTATACACTCAAATATGTGAAATGTTATTCAGTTTCATTTTATATATAATTATATACTGTAGTTTCATTTTCACCACAACTACAGTATCATTTTGATATAACTGCAATTTTATTTGATAATATAAAAGTAATACGTGAGACAGTGTCGGTTTAGACACACTATAGTGTCATTCCGTTATGACTGCAGAAACGACACCGTTTTGATGCGCGGTGCATAATCGATTATATATGCACTGCGGTGCACGATGTAACGACTGATAATTTATTTAATATTTATGTTTGTCACCAATTTTACTCTTGATAACCCAGTTTTATGATAGGTCTAGTCTATAAAAAGGAGAAATTATTCTGTGGATCCGAGTTTAATTTGAAAATTTTTATGTAAGCAACACTGACTCTCAAATTTGAAAATTTAAAAAGCTTCCACTTTGCTTATTATTATCAAGTATTAGCTTATTTGGATGCGAACTTATATACTTATTGTTGAACAACAACAAGTTTTTTTAAAAAATTGACCGAAAAATATCGTTATGGTCGAAAATATGACATAAGAAGAAGAAGAAGACTAGAAGAGCTTACATGCTTTCCACATGGCAAATTCCAGCAGGGAAGCTACAATTGCAAGTGAGAGTATTATTGTACAGTGGCATATATTTATTTTTTGGTGTCATCCAGTTTGAGTTGTTGTCACAAGGATTTAGACTAAAATTCCAACCCTCCTTGCCCAGTTGTTTAGCTATTTCCCTGAGTGCATCAACTGCCATATACATACATGAAACAAAATAATTAAGCACTTTTTGGTGTTAATAAATATGTAATATGCATAAGTAATTTGCATATGTATATATTGATGATCAACAAGAAAACAACTAACAGATCAGAGAACTGAGGGGGCTTACTTTCATCTTGAGGAAGATGCCCACTCTGTGCGTCAACAAATGTTGCATTGAAGGAGAGTAGTATAATTGGTATGAGGATTATGAACATGGAAGCTGACATGGCTGAGTTCTAGCTGGGGAAGATAATCTGCAATGAGTGTGTTATATAATACATTTGCTGTGTATAATAAATAAAGATAGAATAACGATTGAAAGAATTGAAGAAAACAGCACCTGACCATGAGCCAATGAGGCATGTGCAACTGTGCAAGTGGACCCATGAATAGACAAAAATGTCTTACTAAAGATAGAAAAAGTCATGAGAAGGACAAAAAATGTCCAAAAAATAATAGTCTGGGATGTTAAATGATAAAAATGAAAGTTTTTTACTAAATTTGAAATTGCCACCACAAACAAGCTAAGGGATCTCTGGTGGAATTAATTCGAGTGAATTCCATTTTTGGTCCTAATGTTATAGGGGCATTTCCAATTTTAGTCCACCGTTAATATTTCTGTCAAGAGGCCCTATAATCCAAGGGTATTTTGGTCTTTTTATGGTTGTCTCTTCTCTTTTAATCCAGGCGCTTCGTCCTCTTCCTCCGATATTCGAAGATATAGCTCTTCGAACAACGAGAATGGGAAGCCAAAGCTACATCGTTTTGTTCGTTCCAACATGGGCCGGCGAGGTTTCTTAGGTTTTAGGTTTAATGTTCTCATTTTTTTTAGTCAAACATAGTCTTGGATGAGAAGAAAGATCAAAATATCCCTAGATTACATGGCCTCTTGATGGAAATACTAACAGTGGACTAAAAGTGGAACACATTCAATAATAGTGGTCATAAAGTGGCAAAAAAATTAAGGTGAACTAAAATTGGAAACATCCATATAACAGTAGGACCAAAAATGGAATTCACTCAATTAATTCTTTAAAAAACAAAAAAGTCACCGGTGATTTACATCTTTTCAAATACTTTGTTAGATTGAGGTGTGGGAACTCTTGGAGTTGAGGATTCAACCTTTTAGGAGAAGTTTAATTATGTTTATTGTATGTATATAACCAGTCTGGTTGCTTTCAAAAAAATGTTTATTGTATGTGTTGTGTATAAAAGTGTTTTAATTAGGAAGTGGCCAGAGATTAAGATTATGAAATACCAGACTTTTAAGCATAAACTTAACTAAGTTAATTTCATCATACCCTTATATATATTAAGTGATAAGGGAAATTTACATCCATTATCTGATAGTTGATAAGTAACTAAAATTTACAAAAAGGTCAATCAATTTATATTATTTACAGTTAACTGACTCAAACTAAGAATATAGTGGTGAATTGGCTCCAAGCCTTCCATGTCAACAAATCAATAATTCATCGTATCCAACCTTTCTTTACTTTCCAATAACCAATGAATTCATTTCAATCTTCATGCCAGACGTGGATGAACAATGACATTAAAGTAAAGTGGACTAGAATTACTTCACATCTTATTCATTAAAATGTACCACGAAATATTATTATTGTTATTATTTTGATACAAACGATGCGACACTCCCAATAAAACTAACTAGCTAGAGGCGAAATTACAAGTTTTCTTTAGAGAATTAGGAGTCAAGTATCAAAATTTGTTACCACTAATTTTGAAAATTAATTTCATTTTTTTTGGGTGAAACCTGCTACAATTATCTAAAGGTACACATATAGAAAAGATCATATGACGAGTATAATTGATAAAGTGTTAGCAAGAAATGAATTCGCAACTTTTAAATATGATAGATGTCGCACCTACGTACTAGGCCACGTACCCCTTGTAAGTTCTATACATTTTTCAGGTTTGAATGTTATAAGGCAGCAAATTAATGTCAATGGTGGTTTCTCCAAGATACTTCCTTGTAAGAAATACTCCTTATGTTCCATTTTATGTGTTTGGTTAAGTTAACGAGGCTTGACTAGAGTTATTTTTAATTTAATTTTTCATAATATTAAGTTTAATATTAGTATTCAAAATTTATATATTTAGAAACTACACTAAAAGCATTTAAAAAAAAAAACTACACTAAAAGTATTATTAATCACAAAAAAAAAATTAAATTTAAAAATAAGTAAAAAATAATTTTAAAAAAATAAACAAAGAAGAAATTGTTGGTTTGACCCATAAATAGTAGGTAGAACAGATAAAATGAGAGAGAGGGAGTAGCAAATAATTTTGAATTTGGAGATCTCAAGTATGAAATGATGACTAAGAACCATAAGACGTGAGAAAAAACCAAATCTAAGACGTGTGGAAAAACCAAGTGACAGAGTAATGAGAGTCGACCCGGACCAACAAAGACACCAACAAATACCTGACCCGGTAGCACTTAAGAGTCCAACGGGTAGAAGTCTAATGGGTAAAAGTTCAACGGGCAAAGTTATTTACTGCGAGTCATTTACTACCGCCCATTCAAGATAAGGAAATAAGTGTCAGGCTCCTCATCATGGTGTAGCGGTTACTTACCATTAGGAGACTTAGTATAAGTAAAAGCTCTCCTAGCTTAGCAAGACACACTCTCTCATTTATGATAATTGGACAAGGTACTGGATCTGACCCGGTGCAATTGGTCTAACCCATCAACACAATGATGACAGTCAAAGCAATCAATACGGACAGTGGGTAGCGGTCAAGATCGAGTAAATCAGGAGGAGGTGGAACAACTCTTAGAGTCCAACGCATTACCGCCTCATCAAAGAGCAGTTACTGAGGGGACCTACACTGATGGAAGGGAGCCGTTGCACTTATTAGGAGGTCATGAGTGCCTATTATTATAGCTATTACCATTATACTGTACAAAAGAGAGCTATGTAACAAGTAGGGGGACTCTGATTTCGGTACTGAAATTATAGCAATACAACTTATCTTTACTCATGCGTAATAATAATATTATCAAGTAACATATTTAATGTCATTGGTGCTTTCATTGAGAGAAGAGATCAAATCTCAAGCAAATACGCATTTGGAAAAGATGGCACGCTCAAGACCCGTTAGCTCACACGGTTCCCGCAACTTGAACAACGGCAACACCCCAGGTGATCTTCGAGACCAACTCACTAACAGCCGTGGAGAGGACCTTCGAGAACAACTCAACAATGGAGGAGTAGGGGCATCCGTCCAAATCAAGACCCTCCAGGCGACCGCCGAAGCCATCCAGCAAGCGGCGACAACACTAATTGAGGCAGTGGCGGGATTGTGAGGCTAAATGCCCCCGACGGGGCCCAAGTAAATAGAAGTGGAATCCCCACGAAGGGTAGAAACCCAGCAACAACACGACACAACCCGTGCGCCGAGGACGCAGGACGTCACACCAGGACATGAGGTCCAGACAAGGCGCCCAAAGAAGTGAACCGGCCACACGACAACCAGGCCCTTCCCAGTGTACCCCGGAACGATTGGGATAGAGGACGTCCATGCGGCAAAGGTTGGGATCGCGGGCCGAGGGGTCCTCTACCAAAATCACCCACGGAGAAAATGGACGAATCAGATGAGCCGGCCCTGTGCCGACACTTTGATGAGCATGCCCAACGCTGGCACCCTAGTGAGCCGGCCACGCGACGGCACCCTAATGATCTGGCCCCACGCCGGCACCCTGATGAGTCGGCCCTAGTCGAAAAACTATAAAGAAAAATTGAAGAGTTAGCAAAGAAAGTAGAAGCGCGGGAGCAATCGCCGGAACCCGAGGTGAGGAAGGCAACTCCATTTTCCCCAAGTATAATGGGCGCGCCTCTGCCGAAGGACTTTAGGTTGCCCGCCATCAAAGCATACACCGGGACCGCCGACCCGCGTGTCCACATGACAAGGTATAAGGCTGTTATGGTAATGATCAGGGCGGGGGATGCTGTCATATGCAGGGCATTCTTGTCCACTTTGGATGGGGCGGCCCAAGACTAGTTCAATACCATCCCGGTTGGGTCAATCCAAAACTTTGGATAATTATCCAAAACTTTCTTGACATATTTCTCCGGCAACATACAACGTATGAAACCCTTCTCTCACCTCTGCGTAGTAAAGCAAGACAGAGGCGAGAGCCTGAAAGATTTCCTGAGCATATGGAAAAAGGAGGTCAACAATGTCTACAACTTTGACTCCAAGGCGGCAATCCCAATATTTATCCATGCCCTAAGATCAGGATATTTTCACAAGCAATTGAACGCCCATCACCCCCGTTCTTATGAGGATTTGATGAGGACAGCCAACCATTAGGCAGAAGCAGAAGAAACGGTTAAGAAGAAAAGGGAAGAGGAGGAAGGCAAGACAGGAGGAAAGTCCGAGAAAATCGATCCAACCAACCAGGTGTCAGGCGCGGCTTCATCGAAGAAGGGAAGTAGAGACCAATCTTCAAGAGGACCACATTTGATCAATTTGCGTCATTTGACACAACTTCGCTTACCCATCCGGTCAGTGTAATCCTAGACCAAGCCGAGGAGATGGGGATGGTGCAGTTCCCAGAAGAGTGTATGAAAGTTTCCCCTAAGGTAGACCAAACCAAATATTGCTGGTTCCACGGGAAAGTTGGCCATGACACTGAAAAGTGTCACATTTTGAAGAGACAAATAGAGGAGCTCATTCAAAGGGGATACTTCACTCAGTTTGTGAAGCATCCAGGGCAACAACAACAACATCAGGAACAAAGCCAACCCGTGCCCAAAAACGTGTGACGAAAGGGAGAGGACCCTGAGCCATCCTCCTCAGACATAAAGAGGGGGTACGATCAGATCATGGAAGAAGGTGACAAGGAGCTAGAGGTGGAATCCGTGCAGAGCAAAAAACATGCCATTCGCTAAAAAACAACAAGATCAACAATATGATTATTGATGTAACTGTTGTTCATGGTCCGCCCTGATCAATTTTGTTGAATAAAAAAAATTATTAATTACTGCACTCTACTCCCTAAGGGCCGGAACTGGATCCGGTCCAGCTAGCTACCCGACAGAAGGGCGTTTCTTGGTCAAACTCAAAGTTTGGTTACGAAAACGCTATCCCCTAAGGAATAGTACGGGGTCTAACCTCGCTCACTACTCTACGGAAGAGCCGACCTTTGACCGAGCCTATAACCGGTCGAAGTAAGCTACAAACAAACACACGAAAAAAAAAAAAGAAAAAAAAATGGTCGAGTCTGCCTCGGCCACGCCAAACTGGCCAGGCCAAATTGGCCGAGGTCTGCTTTGACCAAAACTGGCCAGGGCCGCCTCGGCGAAAACTGGCTGAGGCCGCGCCTTGATCAAAATTGGCCGAGGTTCGACTCGACCAAACAGGCCTAGTCCGCCTCAGCCTGTGATACCCCGTAAATCTAAATACTAATTGGGGATTAATTGAAGAATTACTTCATGTCTCAGTGATCTCTCATGGCTGTCACCTTCATCTCCCATGACTTTGGAATTCCTCGGAGTATCTTTAGATTTTTCTCCTTTTCAGTCAGCTCCTTTCCGAGATCTGAAAGGTCACCCATAAGTTTCGTGAACCTAAGTTCCATGTCGGTGATGGCTTCATTTGGCATCATTTTGAAGTCTTCAAACTTCTTCATGGCAACAGTGAGCTTGTTGTCCTTTTCTTGCTCGTCTCCTTCTCCTAGACTCATGAGGGTATCCCATATTTCCTTTGCCGTAGTGCATTTCTGCACTCTTGGAAACAACGAGTCATCTAAGGACTTGTAGAGGATATCTCGTGCAATGTTGTCGAGATTTGCTCTTGTCTTTTCTTCTGAAGTAAGCTGAGACTTCGGTTTTGGAATCATGACTTCTAGATCTACTCCTTGAGAAGCCGCTTGTGTATTCACCATCATAACAACGATAGGACCTTCTTTTATAACGTCCCACATTTCGTCATGAATGGTCGAGAGATGAGCCTGCATCCTGACTTTCCAATCATCAAATTTAGAGAGATTAAAGGTAAGAGGCCTAGAGCGATTAGCATGATCTCTTTCTATTTTTTTTAAGAAAATACGTGCAAAGACAAAAAAATAGTTTAACCTATATAGATTTTGCAAAAGGGATCTACCAGGCAGTAAAGCAAAACGTTTACTATACAAGGTAACTGCTCTGATACCACTTGTTGCTCCCGGTAGGGTCGAAAGAGAGTCTATAGGGGGGGGGGGGGGGGGTGAATAGACTCTAATCAATTTTTCAAAGATACTCCTTTCGGAGTGATGCACATCGGAATAAGGTTTCGTCTTTTAGTTTTACTTTGCACACTTTCGTTGGAAGATAACGTTTAGTCGAAATGGCATGCAATGCACGAAAGATAAAGCGCAGTATTTAAAGAGATATGGAGAAAGAGATTTTTTATAGTGGTTCGGTTGTTAACTAAGCCTACTCCACTCTTCTTTCGCAACTCGTGAAAGGGTTTGCACTATCACTCCTAGTACAAACTACTTCAAGCTGGCTTCCTTGATCACTAAGCTGGACAACCACTTGATAGGTTTTTCAACTCCTCGAGTTTACTCCACCTCTATCAACTTCTTCCTAAGAGTTGAGATGTTGGAAAGATAATCTTGTGTTTCTCCAACAGGTTAAAGTCTTGTCTTGATATCTGGATGAATCTTCACTTGAAAATATGCATGACTTCTTCAAGATGTGAAGTATGGAAGATGAATGATCCTTTGAAAACTTCACAATAAACACTAGTTATGAAAAGCTTTAAGAGATGTAACTGTTTGAAGAGCTTTTCTTTGGATAGCAAGAGTTGAATTAACCAGCATCTTCTTCAATGGTGAAGAGAGGTATTTATAGGTGTAAAAATTCATCCGTTGGAGGAAGATGAAGATTTCTAACTTAATATCCTATGGAGGAAATTTCAATTTTGGTCAT